CTTGTACCTTCCTGATGATGGCCGTAGTAGTTCTCCACGTTTCAGCTCCATACAGTAGGACTGTCTTGACGTTCGTGTTAAAGATTCTGACCTTGAAATTGGTTGAGAGTTGTTTTCAGTTCCATATGTTCTTCAATTGTAGAAATGCTGCCCTTGCTTTGCCAATCCTCGCCTTAACATCTGCATCCGATCCTCCTTGTTTATCAACGATGCTCCCAGGTACTTGAATGTTTCCACCTCTTCCAGAGTTTCGCCATCAAGTGTGATTGTGTTGGTGTTCTCCGTGTTGCATTTGAGAATCTTGCTTTTTCCTTTGTGAATGTGGAGGCCTATCGATGCGGAGGCTGCTGCTACATTTGCGGTCTTCATCTGCATTTGTTCGTGTGCACGAGAGAGGAGGGCTAGGTCATCTGCGAAGTCCAAATCATCTAATTGATTCTGAGCTGTCCATTGTATTCCGTATTTCCCTTCAGATGTCGAATTCTTCATAATCCAGTCAATCGCTAGAAGGAAAAGGAATGGGGTGAGTAGACAGCCTTGTCTGACTCCGGTGCTTGCTGGAAATGCGTCTGTCAGCTGTCCTCCATGCACCACTTTGCACTGTAGTCCATTGTATGAGTTTTGGATGATGTTGACAATCTTGTCAGAAACTCCATAGTGTCGAAGAAGTTTCCATAATGTTCTCCTGTCCACGCTGTCAAACGCCTTCTCATAGTCAATAAAGTTGACGTATAGTGATGAGTTCCACTCAACTGATTGTTCAACGATGATCCATAGTGTCGCAATCTGGTCTGTGCACGAGCGATCCTTACGGAATCCAGCCTGTTGATCCCTAAGTTCGGCGTCCACTGCGTCTTTCATCCGATTCAGCAGCACTCTGTTGAAAACTTTTCCTGGTACTGATAACAAACTGATGCCTCTGTAGTTCTCATATTGGCTCAGATCTCCTTTCTTTGGTATCTTGATGAGATATCCTTCTTTCCAGTCCATTGGCACTTGTTCTTCTTCCCAAATCTTCTTGAATAGAAGGTGAAGCATATTTGCAGTTATTTCAATGTCTGAATTCAGTGCTTCTGCTGGTATATTGTCAGGTCCTGCCGCCTTCCCACATTGGTTTGTCTGATGGCCATCTTGACTTCTTCGAACGTTGGTGGAGTGACATCTATAGGAAGGTCTGTGTGGGCTGCTTCGATGTTCGGTGGATTCAATGGGGCTGGTCTATTCAGCAGTTCCTCGAAGTATTCTGCCCATCTTTTCCTCTGTTCTTGAATCTCAGTGATTGTCTTTCCTTCTTTGTCTTTGACTGGTCTCTCTGGTTTGTTATGCCTCCCTGCCAATTTCTTCGTTGTATCATATAGTTGTTTCATATTCCCTTCTCTTGCAGCTTTTTCAGCCGTCGTTGCTAGTTCTCATATGCATTTCTGCTTGTCGGCTTTAATGCTTTTCTTCACTTCCCTGTTTGCTTCTGCGTAGTCTGCTTGTGCTTTGACTTTCTCTGCTCGTGTTCGGCTGTTGTTAATTGCTAGTTTCTTGTTCTTTCTTTCTTGAATTTTGTCCAGGGTTCCCATAGAGATCCATTCCTTGTGATGATGCTTCTTAGGACCAAGAACCTCCTGACACGTTGAAGTTAGTGCTTCTTTTATCCCTTTCCAGTTGTCCTCCAAAGTAGTTTCTTGTTCTTTCAGTAGATCCTGTAATACCTGGAACCTGTTGTTGAGAGTTATCTTGAATTCATGGAGCTTGTCAATATCTCGAAGGAAGGCTGTATTGAACCTTTGTAGTGCTGTTTGTCCAGTTGTCCAGTCTTTCTTAAGCTTCAGTCTCATCTTGGCCACAACCAGGTGGTGATCTGAAGCTATGTCAGCTCCTCTCCGGGTTCTTACATCTTCCATTGATCTTCGGAATTTTTTGTTGATACAAATATGATCTATCTGGTTCTCTGTGGTTTGGTTCGGTGAGATCCATGTAGCTTTGTGTATGCGCTTGTGTGGTAATATTGTGCCACCTATAACCAATTTGTTGGATGCACATAGGTTTGCAAGTCTCTCCCCATTTTCATTTCTCTCTCCTAATCCATGTCGTCCAATTACATCTTCATATCCTGTGTTGTCCACTCCAACTTTAGCATTTAGATCTCCCATCAGGATTGTGAGGTCCTTTCGTGAGCACTTTGCTATAATTGATTGCAGCCTTTCATAGAACGGATCTTTATCATCGTCGTTGCTATCATTGGTGGGTGCATAACATTGGATAACGTTCATTGTGGTCCCTTGTTTCTTTGTTCTGAATGATGCTTTGATTATCCTGGATCCATGAGATTCCCATCCCACAAGTGCATTTTGTGCTTCTCTAGACAGCATTAGAGCAACTCCCTGAGTGTGTGGAGCATTTTCCCCTTCGTGACCGGAGTACAGCAGCATCTCTCCTGTACCTAGCCTTTGTTGTCCAGTTTGTGTCCAATGGGTTTCGCTGATTCCGAGTACTGCCAAGTTGTATCTCCTAAATTCCATTGTTATTTGGCTGGTCTTTCCTGTTTCCCACATTGTCCGGACGTTCCATGTACCTATAAAGTGTGTTTCTCTGGTTGTTAGAAGGTGCATCGGTCTCGTGACTTCCGAAGAATTTCGGCTTTCATCATGAGACGTCATAAATATTCCTTCAACTCGGAGGGCAGAGTTTAAATGATTTGAATAATTTTTTTTCTGGTTAGCGTTTTTTGAGCGAGTTAGCTTTTATACGGGATGGGGTCGCTAACCCCATGCTCAACCCTCCTCTTTTACCCGGGCTTGGGACCGGCAGTAACTCTAGAAGAGCTACAGGCTGAGTTATGACTTGACCTAGGCTGTTGCCAATTATTATGTCTTGATCAAGGTCGTTGCTGATTTGTTATGACCTTACGAATTAAACAAGGACGTAACTTGCGTGAATTATGCGCCAATAGAAATACGACTTCTACGACCTTCACACTGTGACAATGACGTTCGACTAGTATGAGTAATCTAGCGTCCTTATTAGTCCTTAATCCGCTTAGCCTGTCCACTTGAGTCCAGAACACCAAAAGCAGCCTCGGCAATATGAATCGTTTATTTCATGCATACTTTGTTTATATATCAGACACGCAGGCCACATCATACCATAAAATATAAAATAATATTTGTGCAAAACCAAGCCAAATAAGGCTGTAAGCGTGGGAGTCAATAATCAACAAACTGAGCATAACATAGGAACAGTAAAACATATAATAATAATCAATAAGTCAAAATGAAGCTTACAATAAGATGAATATAGATATAAATAATCTGGTTACTGAATAGTTATACAATAGGAATATACATAGAATAATTGTCCAATACCAGATCCCGTAAGTTATCCGTACTTCTCTCCTAGTATATAACACTGATGATATTCATCCTAGGATTATGAAAGCTCTATCAAGTGTAATTGCTGAACCCTCAGCGACACTGTTTGATATGTCTCTGCAGCAGTCCAGATTGCTCAGAGGCTGGAAAGACGCGTTAGTTAGTCCGTTGTATAAGGCTGGGAGTAGACATTTATTCAGTAACTATCGACCCGTTAGCTTAACTGGTGCAGTCGTAAAACTGATGGAAAATATTGTTCGGATGGCCGTCATAAACTATGTGGTAGGACATAATCTTTTATTCAGGAAACAACATGGTTTTCGGAAAGGCCTACCATGTTTGATAAATCTCCTCATTGCAAGAGGAGATTGGCTTGAGGCAAAAGATCGCAATATTACTGTAGATGGGATTTTCATAGATCTAAGTAAAGCCTTTGATAAGGTCTCCCATTCTGGTTTTAAATTAAAACTGTAAAGTTTTGGAATTCATTATACAGTCATAGACTGGATAAGTGACTTTCTTCATGATAGGAGACAAAGGGTAAAAGGAAATGGAGCTCTCTTGTCGTGGGAACCTGTAAAAAGTGGAGTTCCCCAAGGCACAACCCTCGGTCCTCTTCTATTTTTACTTCATGTAAATGAATTACCAAATGTAGCTAAGCAATCCGTTCTAATCTTCGCCGATGACATAAAGATTTAGAGAACCATATACAGCATGTCAGACAGAATAGTATTACAGGATGATCTCAACTCATGGATGGACGGGTGTTCGCTAGAAGTGAATCCTAACAAGAGTGTGGTGATGCAATTAGAAAATTATGATGACTCGTATTACGATACAATATGCGGATTCGTGTTACCGAAAGTAAGAAACTACAAAGAATTAGGAGTCATACTTAGCAACGATCTCAAAACTATCAATCACTGTAAGGCTGCTGCCGCAAAAGGCTATAGGGTATTATGGTCTATTCGTAGATCTTTCCAGTATTTGGATGAGGGAATGTTTAGATTATTATACTGGACTTTCGTACGACCACATTTGGAATATGGGATTCAAGCAGCGAGTAATTGTTTCAAATATGGGGTGGATATGCTGGAACCAGTCAAACGACGAGGGACTAAAATGGTAAAAGGTCTATCTAACCTATCTTATGAAGACATACTGAAACACCTCAACAATGACCTTGGTAGTATTATGTTTCATCTTTTCCCTCTGTGTGGGACTGATCATTTGAGAGGACATTCTAAGAAAGTTCGAAAACCGAGATCAAATTGTCTACGTATGGAGTTTCGTTTCTCATACCGAATTACTGGAATTCTCTAACAGAACACGTAATATCAGCACCTCCAGTCAGTATATTGAAAACGGGCTTGGGCCTCCACAGGTTAACAAATTACAAGGATCAATATAGGTCAAAGGACCTCCCATCATTATTACTAAAGACTGGAAGTAATGCACCAAGGTAAAAAATAAGTGACTTTTAGAGTTAATAAACATTTAATTGTTCATGCTTCATAGTGTTACAGGACCAAAATATTCAAAATTTTATTTTCGGCATTGTTTGGTTATTTTTTTACAGGCGTGACTGAACATAGACATTGGAGATTGAATTAGGAGTGCCAAGTTTTGATTTCTTACCTAATGTCTCAGGAAGCTACGATCATAGCGTAAGTTGGTTCTTTTCGTTTAATATTTTCGAAATTCAGAGTTGATAATAGTGATTACATGAGGAATGGGGACTTCTTCCCAACACGTCTGCAGGCGCAAAATGATGCTGTCGGTTTGATCTGCCAGAGCAAGCGTCAACGTAATCCAGAAAATACCATTGGTTTGTTGTCCCTTGCAAACACCGAAGTACTTTGTACGCTAACAAATGATGTGAGTAAGATATACAATCGTTTACACCTTGTGGAGCCAAAGGGCAGGATTATTTTCTGCTCATCAATAAGGATAGCCCACCTCGCACTTCGTCATCGACAATTGAGACATCAGAAAATGAGGATCGTATGTTTCATCGGTAGTCCCATATTAGAAGATGAAAAAGAAGTGAGATCATTCCTTAAGCTAACAACGTATGTGTCTAGTTGACTAGGCTTGCCAAGCGTCTCAAAAAAGAGAAAGTAAATGTCGATATTATTAACTTTGGTGAGAATGAAACAAATGAGCAAAAGTTGTCAGAATTCATCGACACATTGAATGGAAAGGATGGAACAGGTTCTCACCTCATATCTGTTGCCCCGGGGACAGTCTTACACGATACTTTGATGACAAGCCCCGTTGTTGCTGGTGAGGATGGTTCTGGCATGGCTGGTGCCGGGTTAGGTTTGGAGTTTGGATTAGATGGGGCAGAAGATCCTGATTTACTCTATGCCCTCAGAGTATCAATGGAAGACCAGCGCATGCGTCAAGAACATGAGGTTAATGGAGATGGTAGTAATACTTCAGTTGTAGCAACATCGTTACCAGGTAATTAAAAATGAGTTTTATTTTACAGGTAAATATCCATGGGTAGCGTCCAGAAAATATCTTAAAGGAATATTGGTTTCATTAAAATGTGTCCATTTCCATGGTTATCTAAAAAATGACTTCAATACTGTTCATACCGTTTTTCCTATTTGTTTAACTATATTCTGCCAACTTATGTTCTGCCCATGCCAATGCTTCCAATTACTTTCTCGCATTAGCTAAAAGTGTATTGCCTGTATCTAATGAAGTTTTCTACTTACCTGGTAACAAATGCACCCTAACCGATTGACTGAAATATTAGCTCTGTCTTATTTTAAGTAAGACCCAAGCAGCGAGTAAATTATTGAGCGAGATAGGCGTAAGTCGGCAAAAATACTTTCTGCAAAACACTTTTTATGTGACCCTACTACTTGCATCTTAAAGGTTGAATGTAGGCCATTGACTTCGCTCTGGGCTCCACATTGCTTCACCTCACTTTTTGTAATCTGGACTTGAATCTTAGTTTGCTTGTGTTTTGCCAGCTGGGTCAGGAACGTCCGAAGAAGCTATGCTTCAGCAGGCTTTGGCTATGTCAATGCAAATGAATAATACCGAGTCTTCATCCTTGCCTATGGATATCGATCTGGCAGCTATGTCAGAAGAAGATCAGATAGCATATGCACTGCGCATGTCTTTACAACAGATGGGAGAGGAAACGACTCAACCTACCACCACTACATTGGAGTCCGACAAGGTTAGGTTATCTTATTTGTGTGTTTGAATTGTATATATTGGACACATCACAAGTCCTTGTATTTCAGCTTCACCTGCATTTTCTCTGGGATCTAGTGATACTACGCGGTTTCCCCTAAGGTACATGGAGTGTGACTCCGACTGTTATTCAGTGACTGGAGGTTTTGTGCTTTGATGAGCTTTCGAACTTGGCTTAATATCAGATTATTGTGTCCAATTACTATTGCATAAATAACAGTGACGCTGTTTCACCAGTAGCATAAGCCAAGAGTTGTGTTTAGTTTAAAAGCTATCAGATCTCCCTCGCTTCCTTGTTGGTTTATAGTCTAGGATAAAAGTAATTCTATATATGCATGAATTATAGCCATATTACTTGCCATAAAAAGCGTGATTCAACTGTCAAGCACAGTCCGGTAGTAATGTCTCATTGAAAAAGATACGTAACAAACCTCACTTCTCTGTACTTGGGCCAAAACTAACAACAAGCTACCACTTGGTGCAAGTACATCAGACGACTAATGTCAAAAATACCCATTTCCATTTCTATTGAACTTTTTCGCAGATATTCCCTCAAGAAGTAACTCCATCCAATCGCTTACGGACTACTTCACTAATTCTGTTAGAATAATGTGCACAACCAACTTCCTATAAGTTTACAATATTGACGTAGTATACTGGCAAGTGATTTGGGGATACTTTAATCTATTCAAACACAAAATATTCTTGGTTCGTTAGCGTCTATTCACTAAATTTGATGTGACGCAACTCAGCAAGTAAATATATGTGTGCTGCGCTTCGTACCACACTTTAGTCAACAGCACTACCCAATAACAAACCAAAGTGACGCTTGTGACTAACCAACTAGTTGGTGACCGACCCATCGAACCCCTAAATCATCGCTCTCATACCTGGCTGAACATTTATTTATTTAAACATATAAATATTGGCACAAAGAGGCACGAGATATATATGCGCCGCACAAATTTCATTTGATTTGTGTGAGGGCTGTGATACTGCCCAGGTGCCCAAACTGAAGCATTAAGGAGTGGATTAGTTATGTGCATCAACTACTTACGTTTGGAATCTCATCACTCAACAGACTTTTGGCTAGTGTGATTTCGTCACAGACTCACTACCGAAAATGGAAAATAAGTAATTTTCATAACGTTAGTTCGCCAGTGTCTACAAATTATAACCAGCAAATAAGTATACTTTATTTAGGGCGTAAAGTGCCAGGTAACAGCCATAAACCAGTTGATTCGATGGCCTAGCCACTATAGCTCTATTAAGTTATCTTGATAAGCAAGCCCGAAGTCCGACAGCGAAGTCGTACTGCTGGCTGTAGTGGGGGGTGACAACAGTAAGGTGTTTCCCTCAGACAGTCTGCATTTGCAGCAATGCTGCCTCACAACGGAATGGGTTAGAAAAGGTCGACTATAGAAATGTTACACCTCACCTTACCTCATGGGTTTCCGTTTCTGGCGGTAAGACCTAAAATGATGAGCTAACACATCAAAAACCCACAAAAGGCCGTGTGCCACCGTTTTTAAGTGGTTGTCTCTTAAACTTCGGGGTCACGCTCCTAGGTCGTTAAGACCGTCACTAATTCAGCTTTTTCGGGTCCCCGAAGTAATATTCTTCCACGGTGTAGGAAATCGGGACGTGATTGTCACATTCTTAACTCTATTGGCACTCGAGGTCATTTTATTGACGACTAATAATTCTTCCATCCGTACAACTAACTCTCCCTGTATATCATTCTCACCACGCGCCACCAATACTAATGATTCGAGTTCATGAAATGTCATTCCTGGTCTTCTGAAACCAAGCTCTAAACTTCATTCTGGAGCTTTTAATGTTCGGACTTTGTGTCAAATTAAATAGCAGGTTTCTTTGGCTAGGACTCTAGAATCTCGGGCCATTGATGTACGCTGCGTCTCCAAAACGCATATATAGGATCCAAGTACGGTCATCCATTTGACCTCACCTTGTCAGTATAAAAATACGGCATAACTTACCCTACGAGTATGTGGAGATCCCACTGGTACTTTCCATGTTCTCGCTGGTGTAGGCATGGCACTACACTTTAAAGCAAAACAGGCTCTGTTAGACTGTATTCCAATAAACAATCGCTTGTGAGCTGTCTGACTAAATGGGATAGCAAGGATTCAGGAAAATAGGGACACCGTTTCCTTCTCGTTGACTCTGTCTACCCTCTCACTGATTGCGTCTCGGACGAAGTTAAAGATAAATTTCATAGGAAGCTGTCCAACCTCCTTCAAAAACTAAACGTTCTGATGTTGTAAAAGTGACGGGTGATTTTAGTGCTCAAATAAACTAAACCGGACTGGGAGGTACTTAGATTGATCGTACGATGTTGTGGTTCAGCGAACAGATAGTGGCGACCGTCCGTTGCAACTGTGCTCAGATGACCGCCTGTTTCTGGCGAACACCAAATTTAAACATAAGAGAAACATCGGCTGACGTGGCGACTTTCAGACTCGACTCATTGATGGACTCAAATAAGTCACATTACCATTATCTATCATTGGAGGGACTCGATGGAACTGTCGCTCATTCTTGAGCACATGTTCACACTGGTCATGCTCCAGTTCGGGCACGTTATTTTGTGTCTTACTGAACGTAGAAAAGCCTCAGCACGAAAACCCCTTAGAGTCCAACTTAATGATAAAAATGAAGAATTTTTGAGTGAACAATTGTTTTCAATAAATTCATCATCAGGCTCTACAGTTTTAAGTCTATAATTATGATATTTTACGAAGGTCAAAATGAGGCACGTATTAATTAATTTGACAATGTTATATGCTAAAATTGGCGAACGTTTGCATCTATTACGACATATATACTTCAAAATTGTGTTATTCGATCGTCTGCCTGGATCATTGATTGTACAAAATATGTGTATTCGAAATCCTTTCTCGTATTTAACCTATTTTAATTCCGTTATTCACTATCGCCAGTTAAGTTGATGATTATATACGAGGATAGCCAGGATGTATATTTCAATAACATACGATCTTATTGTAGTCAGACACCAGGCCACTAAACATTGCTCGTGTATTTTGGGACCACGTAGTAAACAGTGCCTGAGTTAAGAATAGAGTACCAGGTAAAGATGGGAAATCGATTGATGAGGTAGTGAATCTCTATCAACTGAGGTGGTTGGAATATTTGTTACATGTGCTCAACCACCGCTTATCTTGATGCGGCAGGAGTAGGCTGGGAGAAAGTTCAAGGCAATCAAACCACAACATGGCATCGGTCTACGAATTCACCGACGACTAGACTTAGCCATGTTAATAGGTGTAGATTACTTGCTTGGGGTCCATGTGATTATCGTAAATGATACTTCTCAAAGTCATCCACAGTGGGGTAGGTCCATTCACTACTGAATCTTGAAATCATATACCCTGCTTCTTTTTCTACTATTACTGATGTTGTTGCTACTATTGGATCTAGTAATCTTATCCGGCAGTGCTAATGTGGTGTGACTTGAGCAGACCCATATGTGTTAGATTCTACGATGTTTATGACTAACTCACTTATTGTTGTATTTCTGCGGACTAATCAGAAGGGTTTAAATAAGAAGCAGCCAGTTAATGTTTTTGTTAACAATTTAGTTAGTGGTTTCATTTCTTTGAATTTTCATAATTGCTCTATAATGTCTCACTTTCAACAGACTATTGTTGAACCCTCTGGTGTGGCTATGGATATAGATCAGACTCCAACTAAAGTTACTGAAAATCCAAATTTATCTTCTAGTTCCGGTACATTGGCAGCTGCAACATCAGCTGTTCCTACATCTGCTGACTTGGATGTTATGTACGATGCTGAATTTTTGGAATCTGTTTTACAAAGTTTGCCTGGTGTGGATACTCAGAATGAAGATGTTCGCAAGGCTATAAATGCTCTAACTAAGTCCCAGTCACAGCGAGGTTCAAAGAAAGATGAAAAAGAAGATGAGGATAAGCAGAATAGTTAAGGAACAGTGTATTGATTTTCAAATTCGCCGTGCGTGATTGTTTGGGTTCTTATTTTTGACACTGGTGAACATACACATTCTTAACTAAAATTATTGCGCCTCATCCGTCTGTTTTATTACTTAGAAAGTAAATATCATTAAAAAAGTGATTTGCAATGTTTTTTTATGTGATTTACTTGTTTACAGTTTTAAGCGTTTAAAGTGATGTTTCCTTTTCGTTTTCATCAGTTTGTAATATCTATCGGTTATCTATTTGTATAACATTCAATACATATACGACACAACAACTAGGAGGGGTATTTTTACATTTACCTCTTGTTCATTGCTACATTTATTGTCAAATTACAAGTATCCCTTAAATGCTGAAACTACAACACCATAACTACGTGTTTGTAAACCATCCTAATGCTGCATAAATAGTTGTAGGTAGGACGGTACTCAAATAGGTGATAAGAAGTTAAACAATATAGTTTGTCCGAACTATACCACATAACAGTAGATTGGACAGATACACATATGTCCTAAGTTCTTTGTCATGATTAACTATTTGACGTTGGGTGGTCGTAGACTCCTGTAGTGGTTTTAGGGTTGTTGTGACTTCCACACTCAAAAACAATGAGTTTACTGATTCAGGTGTTATCTATGTAATACGAAATACGTCACTTTTTTTCTCCGTACTTAACCCCTCCGTGATTATAAACCTAACACCACGAATAATAAATCTCAGTAGGTACATTATGGGGACATCTGCAATACGAATCTGGGTAATGTTTTTAGTTGACTAATCGTAACTTATAAATGAAAAAAATTGTATATTTATTTATTTAAACACATAAATATTGGTACAAGGAAGCACCAGATAAATATGCGCCGCACAAATCTCATTTTATTTGTGTGAGGGCTGTGATACTGCCCAGGTGCCCAGACTGAAGCAGGCGGTTTTCCTATGGGGCCACACCCGGAGCCTTTGACCCGAAGGTCTAGTCCACAAGGCAGTGGAGCATCGTGAGGAGATGCAGTCCCATGGTGGCCGGTGACCAACGATTGATTCATACGCCATTTGTTCCCTCATCAGGATACTGTAGCCAGTCCGTGTGCACCATTGGTTTGGAATCAGGGTTTCCCAACTCCCCTAGGTGAACATACCGTGAACATTCCCCCAACCCGGTTAAAGCACCGTACATTGGCTTTTCGTCCTCTCAATTTGGTAAACAACAGTAATGCGACTGTGAGAAGGCAGTGAGTAGGACTTGTGTGGCAGACGCTATATATTCGCGTGGCCATGTGTTAGCATTTGGAGAAGGAGAGCGGACTCTCCCCACTCTCGGCCGTACCAGGGCATTTGGGGGCAAGTACTGACCGGGCCCGACGTTGCTTAACTGCGGTAATCGGACGAGAACCGGTGCTTTCAACGTGGTATGGTCGCCGGCTAGTTAGTAAGTCACTGAAATACGGGTTTACAATTGTGAAAGTACTAAGGTATCATGAACCAACTTAAATATACTAACAGGTGCTCCGCAGTATTGTTTTGAGTCTCAGAATTTCAATTCTACACCTGAAGGGTAAGCGCTTCACAATCTTTTGACTAATCAGTGTTGCATTATGTTAATTATTTGATCACTAGATATTATCCAGTGAATGTTAATGGAGCAGCATAACCGTTTTATATTACTGATTCATGGCATCTGTACACTGTGTATTTTAAACTGAGTTTGTAGCTTTTTTCAAATCTGAGGACTTATCTCATAAGCATGTACTTGATAATTTATTTACATTATCGTATTTGATGAGAAAAATTAGGTTCTAAATACTGGTTAAATATAATTCGTTTATTATCAAACAAAAAGTGTAATGTTAGGCAGTTACATGATTAGAGATCAACTGACGACTACACCTGTATTACCGAGTCTATCAGTTCACATTCAAGTTCATTGGAAGTTTGATTCATGATATATAAGTTGATAACGGGAATTTTCGCCTTTAAGCCATCCGGCTTAGTGTTCACTCCAATTATTAGAGTTCACTTGAGTTGTGCGTTTTCATCAACCTAACTTATTAGATTTCTGCTGTTTATTATATAACCTAATATATGACAATTAAAATATTAACATACTTCAACGTTGTAAAGTTCATAGTCCATTCGTAAACGCCGAAAACAATAGAAAAAGTAGTAGTCTTATCAAACACATTAAACTCAGTTTAGTAAAGATTTAGGTAGGGAAGTCGTGATGTTTGCACAGGAAGAGTTATTGCACAACGGAACATTTGTTACCAAGTTACTCGGAAATCAATAATAGGTCGTATTTATTGATTTATAGTCAATTTTTATTTGCTAAAATAGTGTTCTATAGTAAGATAGAAAGGTACTAATTAATTAAAAAAAACTTGAAATGATATTTTGTCAACACTTGAAGATGCTTTAATCTAAGTAAACTCTACACAGTATGCCCAGAAATATATTTGTCTGAGTGAACCATGTAATGTCAATATTGTAAGCATTTATAATCTACTTGGTCTTATTCATAAATTAGTTATCGAGTATACCTTAACAATAATCATTCGGCAATATGACTGTTCTGCACTCTAGTTCTGTTATAAATTGTAGCCGAGTGGATGCCGTGTTAATGTATGACGTGACAAAACCGCCAATTAGAGAGCAGCGAATTATCGATCGGTCCAGTGACACACGAAACCCGCACGAGCAGTCTAGAGTACTTGTCGGGCCTGCTTTCTGCCTAGCCTAGCCAGTTGAGTCCAGAACAGCCTCTGCGGTATGAATCATTATATTTGAGTTTATATACTAACCAGACAGGCCACATCGACCACAAAACAGAAAATAACATTTGTACAAGATTTAGCCAAATGTGGCTGTGAATAGGGGAGATAGTAATTAAAATACAGTGCAAAATTCATGAATAGTAAGTCATATAACAATAGTTTATAGTTCAAAATAAAGCTTATAATAAGGGGATATGAATAGTTTAGTTAATTAACAAATATACAATAAAAATATACACATAGTATTGGTTCATAAATAGATCTCAAGGTTACCACTCATTATTCTTATCGTGGCATAACAGGTTCTTGGAAGCCATCTCTATTAGGAGATAAAGTCGAACCCTGGGGTTTGTTTGCTAGACCCGAACAATGAATACTCGTTGGTATTTCTACTCAAATATTTCATCATTTATTTTTACCTTACATTAGAAGTTACCTCTTAATACTTCCACACAATTATGACCTTTTGAATCTGGACGGTTAATTTAAGTGTGGGATTTTGAGAATTGTTTTACGATGATTCATTATATATTTTTCAAATATTTGGTTTTCTATATTTTTTATATTCCTTTAATTGTAGGCTTTAAAATAACTCAATAACTGTCGATATATGCTTTACTAGCTATAAATTACATTTAATTATGTGTCTGTTACTTAGATTTCTAGAAATAATCTAGTTATAAACAGATCGTCATTTTCTATTTATGATGAGTTGTGATCTTACAGTCAATGTTTATTATTACGAGTATTTTTAGTCGTAACAAAATAATAATCAAAGAAAGTCGGCTGGCTTTCTTAGTTTTATGATTAAGCAGGTTGAAAGCAGAAATAATTTCTGTGGGCTAATCAGCGTCAGTATACTTATCGAGCATAACGCATAAAACGGTTATCAGTGTTATTTGACTTGAAGTGGACTCAACAACCAGTGGTCCTGCTAAATACTTGTATAATGACTAAATTTATATCTTGACTACTTTCCTGTGTGTGGTCTTTAAACCTTTTGACTGTTGTGTCCGAATTTTATCTCGGATGTTCGCATTTAACGACAGACTGAATTTTTTCAGTTTCTAGTACATGGTAGCGTGCAAAATTAACTCACTGTATTTCGCGAAATGTGTTCTTACTCGTCTAATTTTTAGTAGGCCATTTATATGGTACATTTGATTGCGATTCATCAGTTTAGATGTTTGATGCATATTATGAGATCTCATGATCTGTGCTTCTGTCCCGTGCGAACTTGTAGATATATTCCACTAAGGAGTCTAAAAAGACCAAACAATTGCCCGATGCCCCTATAGATTTCAATAGTTTCTTCAATTAGTTTTACTTTATGACGTAATTTTATGCGAGTGTAGTGTCGGTTGCTGTATCAGGCCAATTTATTGATCCTTCTTGAGTCACATTTTGACCTTGCTAATTATTCACTTGTCAACTTGACTAATTTTATGTGAGCGTATGTGTGTGCATTTTTTATCTTACTCATTATATGTTTGTAACTTATTTTTGTGTGACTATAAATATTCAGCAACACTTAATAAAAATGAGTTGGCTCACATGCTTTCTCCAATTCGTTTCACTTCGCTCCGTTTCTCTGACTATCTGTTCTGATCGATGATTGTACAAAATATACGCATTCAAAACTTCATTCTCGTATTTGACTTATTTAATTCCGTTATTCACTAATGCGAGTTAAGTCAATAATGATATGCGAGAATCGGCAACATGTATAAAACGATAACGATAATCACACGGTCAAATTAGAGTCAAATATTCACAGGCTACCAAAGTGGTTTGCTATTTCTTACAGCTCGACTCAGATTTGCGACTCGATGCATTATACTTTCACTTAATAAAATAAACAAATGAACTTCCAAAGGAATTGGGTTTAGTAAACTATAGTCTGTAAAATGTCGGCATATCAAGTATCTAAACATCGTACAAAGCCACCCCTTTCTTGTTAATTATAAGATAATATTAAAAAGGAAGTACAAATGTTTATAAAATTACAAAGAGATAGAAATGTTATCAATGCAAGTTTATGTAAACGATTTCTGGTGAATAGAGCTTAGAGCAATCAGATTGAATCACCGTTTCATTTAGATCATGTGTGAATATACAAATTGTTTTCAGTTTGGATTGATACTATAACGTAAAACTTTGTGTGTATGAATTAAAAATAAAACAATAATTGTTTTATGTGAAAATAGATTCATCGATAAATG